AGAGAGAGAGAGAGAGAGAGAGAGAGAGAGAGAGAGAGTCCTGTCGCGAGAAACGAGCTCTGTCGGATAAATATTGGATTGGCAACTAAGTAATTGCCGATTTGTTCAATGAAATAAAAAGTTTCTTTTTACTTGGAATGAGAAGTTTAACCCTTAGCGGACGACGACTTTTTCGGCAGAGTCAGGTAGCAGGACGAGGTGATTTTTGCAAATACGTCGAGTGTCTTATATGGTACAATACTCGTTGGTTTATCTATATTCACACTTTTATGGATATAATTTTACAAAAATTATCATTTGTAGTTTCGTTCGGTGCGATAGTTTATAAAACATTGACCAAGATGCATTCTTGGTTTATCTGGACATGCATCATAGAGATAGGTCGTCTCATGTCTTCCCCCTGGTTTGTTTCGACTGGAACAAACTTTGCAATCTTTCTTTGCGCCAGTGACACGAATTTCGTCAGAGTTGGCCATCGAACTTGAAGCTCTATCTCGTGGTTGACGAAAATCTCCTCGCGATTTGTCGATCAAAATTTTGCGAAAGTTCAAACGTGTAACTGGCTGTTCGTTTCTCTGCCTTTTTACATGTTCGTGGAGAATGTACGAATTGATCGAGCAAACTTCGAGTCCACGGAAAAATAATTTGCGCCACCACTTCAGGAACTTTCTCATAAAACAGTACGTTGAACAATGTTAGAGATAATAAGATCTAACATAAACACCGACCGTCGCCTCTCACTCGCCGTTCGCCATAGTAAGGTAATCGATAGCATCGATAATGTGTGAGAAAATTCGAAATGCGTACGCCAGAAGTTTTTGAACGTATTCGACAGTCTATAAAACGTAAATGCTTCGTGTAAGTTACAAATCTTTGAGATCAAATCTGCCAAACGAAAAGTATTTATGCATCTCGAAGGCAAAGTGTTTCTGGAACTACGTTTATGTACAACATTTTCTCGTCCTTAGGGGCGAAGAATACGACACCGAAGTTCGTTCACCTATTTCGGGGACACCCTGTGTATACGATTTCGAGTAGATAACATCGACGCATACGATTCGAACGGAGCTAAATTTCGGATGCTACTGCCATTTTAATAGTAGATTCACGGAACATAACATAGTAATAATAATAATAATAATTTTATAATATAACATTCACGGATATCATAAAAATGGGAGCGAGAAACGTCTACGACTGGAATCGGCAATTACTTAGTTGCCAACCCAATGGAATGTTCCCGAGGGATTCGAACGAAAAACGGCGACAATGGGAACGAACCTAAAAAAACGCGCGCGTAAAAACCGGCCGTTCTTTTTTCCAGGGAGTTCTCGAATCGCTGGAGCGCAGTGAAAAGTTGTCGAACAGGGGAGGAACGAGGAGCTCGGTGAACAGGGTCCCGTTTACGATACGGCAGCGTTTCCCGGCGGCGAACCCGATCGGACACGTACTAATACAAGCTAATAGAAGTTGGACGCGGTCCACGGTTCCCCCCGGAATCGCGACACGAACCTGTCCTTTTTGCTGGTCGATACTCCATTGAATGTTACTCCGCGATAAGACCCCCGGCCACGCCTCCGCGATTCTTCCCAGCCCCGAACACCAACGGAACTGTGATTTCTCTCCTCTCCGCGACCGACGAGCAACGCGTCGGTCATTCTGCTCGGCTCCCGCCGCTTCCGTCCTTATTTATTGGCCTGTTCCGTAACTGGCATGGTCGATTTTTCCCTCGAAATTCTATTTTCCGAGGAGGCGTGGAAACGGGGGAGCTCGGGACCCGCTGCCGCTCGGTTCCGTCCGATTAAAATCGTGCGCTATCACTAGACCGAAGATATCATCTCTGGTGCCGTAAATTCTCCTTAATCGACGCTTAGATTGTGCACGAAACAATTGACAATCTCGGGAAAGGAGATACGATTTATTCGAGCCTCGCGTGACTCGTTTGTATAATTACCGATTGACAACAACTATACCAAAAAATTGTTGGGAATCGTCGAAGGACTTTGCTCGAATTTTGATTTCTCAGCCATGCTGAGTACAATTCGACCGGGTTCGGTGGATTAAATGTTGAACGTTCAAGATAGACAGGCAACGTTGTGGAGCCGGTTACTGCAGGGTGAGACCAATTGCTGTGCCTTTGGTTCGTTTTATTAACTTTTATTAACTTTATATTTAGCGAATAAGACGTACTATATTATTTTATTCTTTTATTTCGTTTATTTCTTAATAAAACAATTTTCTTATTCTGTTTATCTTCGAACAAGAAATCTGTTTAGTCTTTTATTTCGTTTCTTTTTGAATAAAAACATTTCTTTGTTCTTTTATTTTGTTTCTTCTCGAATACAAACATTTCTTCATTCTTTTATTTTGTTTCTTCTCGAATACAAACATTTCTTCATTCTTTTATTTTGTTTCTTCTCGAATGAAAACAATTTTTTATTCGTTTATTTTGTTTCTTCTTGAATAAAAACATTTCTTTACTTTTTTACCTTGTTTCTTCTTGAATAAAAACATTTCTTCACTTTTTTACCTTGTTTCTTCTTGAATAAAAACATTTTTTTTCATTCCTTTATTGTATTTATTTTTGAATGGAAACACGTTCTTATCTCTTTCCTATGTTTATTTTCGAATAAAAAAAATTGCGCACGTCTTATTCGTTAAACATAAAGTTAATCGTGCCCAAAAACGCACCAAAGCCATAGCCACCCCCACGGTAACCGACTCCACTACCACCGCGACGCTGACGAAACTCGACGATGATCGACCATCGATTCGAAACCGTTCGTTCGGATGCGGCGCGGGCGTATCTCGAAAGCGATCTCGAGCCTCCCCTTTCGCCACGAGTTCCAACAGAGATCTCGAAGAAGCGGCGCGACTTGGAAGCCGACGCGAAACTTTGATTGAACAGGCTCGTAAATAATTCCGCGCGGTATAACGTATCCGAGGCACGACGGTGTTCCAAGCCCGTAAAAGAGCGGAAAGTTGTCTCCCCGATCGTGTTTCTCTGTCTCCGTGCCGGAAGCCGGAACGACGAAAAGAGAAACGGAATCGGCTATAAATCGATAACGGTGTCGGAGGAGCGACGTGCTCGATCGGCTTTGGCTCGGATCGCGTCGAGTCGATGCATCGCATGTTTCGGCACAAGATGTGCAGCGCGCGGTCGCGGTTCGTCGCGACATTACCGTCACGCTGATTGCCAAAACGAGCCACTTATTCCGCGTTTAACGGCTCGCGGAGCCGGACCGAGTCGGGTCGCGTCTTTCATCGCGTTGTCTCGCGACGTCCAACACCGTTAACCTTTTAGGTACGGCTGAATTCTGCGCGAGGCTGTTTCTCTGGACGGCAGTGTCCGATGTGTACTGTACAGAGTCTGATACTGTATATACAGGGTGTCCCACAAATGTCTCGCAATCCGAAAGTGGCGGGTTCCTCGGGCCGTTCGAAGCAACTTTTTCCTTTAGAAAAATGTTCTCCGAGGCACCGTTCGGAAGCCGACGCCGAGGTTCGTTCACCTATTTCACGTACACCCTGTGTATACGATTTCGAGTGGACGACATTCGACGGCATTCGATTCGAACGGAGCTGAAATTTCGCCACAGATGCTACTTGCCATCGATGCTGATAGAAAAGTCGAGCACGAGATATTTCAGCTCGAACGATCGCGGGGGTTCGGTCGAGACTGGAAGCGAGCGAAATCGTGCTACGCGATAGACAATGCGACAACGAATTACACTCGAATAATTTCTCTCGGAGAGAAGGAAACGTTATCCTCGGGCCAGCCTTTCGATGTAATTTCCGGGCCTATCGGCCGTCTCTCGGAAGTTCTTTGTTCGAACGTTGAAGGATGACGTTTGCAGAGAGGAGAAGGAAGGGCTCGTCGGACTTCTCCCCCGCGATCCAGGATCGCGGCGAGAAATCAGTGTCAGGGAGATTACAATGGCAACCCCTGGCCCGGTTCACCTCGTTCCTCTTCCCGTATCCGCAGTCATTATTCTTAGCCTCGTTCTTATCTGGGTCGATCGCATAATCGACGGAAAATGTGCGTGCACCCGGCGCTCCCCCCCACCCTCCGTATATAATCGACCCGAATGTAGGACCGTAGGGTCGGGGGCGGCCCGTTCGTCTCGCCGCGGTCGCTGTCGCGATCGCGGGATCGTTCGCGGCCGGTCCCGTGTCGAATCTTCGTTAACGCCTTCCATAATTCACGAGGCTTCTCGTTAAAACGAGAACAAGGGAAACCTTTCCGTCTCGGACACGAGTCCGCCGCGCGCGGGTTAGCGGCAAGCTCCGAGCAGTTTGCGCTTTGGCCCCGAGATATTCCGCGGGGATCGTCGGGGAACCTGTTGGCATTTAGCGGATCGAACGAAGGCGAGTCGAACCGAAGCAAAAAGTATCGGCTCCGCCGCCGTAGCACGCGGCAGGTGGAGGCAGTCGCGGCTAAGTTTCCTTAAGCCCGAAATCAATAATGTTTCGAAGTGGAAGCTCTTCGCAGTTCCTCGACACCGCGCGGCCGCCAGTGTTATTTATAGCGGTGTGTCTATTTGCGGCGCAGGCCGAATACGGCAGGGATCTGCGGTTCAGCGAGCAGTGGGACCGTTTGCAGAAGGAGTTCGCGTGCTGCGGGGTGGTCGGTCCCAGAGACTTTGCCGGGGCCGGGAACAATCGGCCCTGGCCGCAGACCTGCTGCGGGCCCAGCGGTAACGCGACCGACACCTGCCAGCAGCCGTACGCGAGGGGCTGCGACGAGTCCCTGGTCGGATGGCTCAGGAAAACCGCGGACCTGCTCTTCATCCTCGGCTTCTGCGTGGTCGCGTTCGCCAAGCTCTGCTTCCTCGGGATCCTGCGGTACGAGATCAGGGAGATGATACAGAAGATACGGCTGCTCCGGGAGCCGCCCCCGTCCGCCACGACCCTCGCTCCGTCCTCCTCGTTGCAGATCACGCCGGAACCAATCAACAACGGAAGCGTCGTTCGACGGACAACCCTGCCCAACGCTCTCACCCCTTCCGGTAGGTCCGAGCTCCTTATTCTTCATGCTTCCAACGCTTCTTCTCGCCCTCCGTTTCAATTAGTAGCTGGACAAATTCATTCTCGGCCCACCACCCTCTCCCTTTCGAATCAGCTGTAACATTAGGTCGTCGCGTCGAGCAGGAAATGTCCGATTTTGAGACCGACGGTTTGGTTTATTGTATCTCGGGCCTTGCTCTCAGGTCGGCCGCGTCGTTCATTTTCGATATATGAGCCGTTTATTTTGAAAGTGGCATAAGTCACTTTGTTTTCAAGTCGATATATTTAAGGGTTCGCGTTTTAACACGTTTATAAAAATATGGATGCTAACTTTCGAGAAGATTTACTTGTATTCGTTGTCTCAGGATACTGATATTTTTCTCGGTATAAATAATTTCGTATATACATTAAAAAATCACCACTTTTCATTACGGTGAAGCGACTTATGCCACTTTCAAAATAAACGGCTCGTATGTATTATACAAAATCTCCGGATCGGAATTTTTCAAACCGTATCGACGTATACTGTACGTTCGTTAGCCACATCCTTGCCCCGAACATCTCGTTAACAATTTCGACTTATCTGCGCTGCATTATTTCGTTACACGGAACTCGTGTTCGAAAATAACGCGGATTTTTTATTCACCTATGGCTCGCGATATTTAACCCTCGGACGACTATACGATAGAATATTAACCCTTTGCACTTGAAGCTATCTTAACCGTAAATCTAAAATAATTTTTCTGATTTATAGCATTTTCATTTTATATGTCAAAGCGCATTTTATGCGTGCGAAATCGAGTCTTGCGACTCGCACAACGGTTACGCTTTCAACAATTTTTTAAAATCTAAACTTTGTTAATGTAAACATTATCTCAGAATCTGTGATATAACAAATTTCAGTGGTGTCTCAGAGTCACCACTCGAGTGCAAAGGGGGTTGAAAACAAAGGAGTGCGTTTGAAAGTCGGATGGCGCATCCCTTCTCGCTGCGAAAAAGAAAAAAAAACAAAGAACGGTCGATGTGAAATATCGGAAACGTCGGATTAAAAACTTGATGTTTTANTTTCAAGTCGATATATTTAAGGGTTCGCGTTTTAACACGTTTATAAAAATATGGATGCTAACTTTCGAGAAGATTTACTTGTATTCGTTGTCTCAGGATACTGATATTTTTCTCGGTATAAATAATTTCGTATATACATTAAAAAATCACCACTTTTCATTACGGTGAAGCGACTTATGCCACTTTCAAAATAAACGGCTCGTATGTATTATACAAAATCTCCGGATCGGAATTTTTCAAACCGTATCGACGTATACTGTACGTTCGTTAGCCACATCCTTGCCCCGAACATCTCGTTAACAATTTCGACTTATCTGCGCTGCATTATTTCGTTACACGGAACTCGTGTTCGAAAATAACGCGGATTTTTTATTCACCTATGGCTCGCGATATTTAACCCTCGGACGACTATACGATAGAATATTAACCCTTTGCACTTGAAGCTATCTTAACCGTAAATCTAAAATAATTTTTCTGATTTATAGCATTTTCATTTTATATGTCAAAGCGCATTTTATGCGTGCGAAATCGAGTCTTGCGACTCGCACAACGGTTACGCTTTCAACAATTTTTTAAAATCTAAACTTTGTTAATGTAAACATTATCTCAGAATCTGTGATATAACAAATTTCAGTGGTGTCTCAGAGTCACCACTCGAGTGCAAAGGGGGTTGAAAACAAAGGAGTGCGTTTGAAAGTCGGATGGCGCATCCCTTCTCGCTGCGAAAAAGAAAAAAAAACAAAGAACGGTCGATGTGAAATATCGGAAACGTCGGATTAAAAACTTGATGTTTTAGGCAATCGGACATTTCGCATTTAATGACCTAATATTAACGCGAAATTCTCAGTTCCCGGCACCGTATCAAAACCTCGAATAAACAGCGATGTTTGTACTGTCGCGACGCCGCACAGCGCGGCCCGTGTCAATGGATAAAATTCTGAAAAGTCGCTGCTTCCGTATCTATTCGAAACTATGTCTACGATGTGTTAGAATGTTCAAATAATCGTATTTAGGAACAGAATGATATCGACAAAATTCAGCAGGAGATTAATTTCAGTGCGAGTTCTCCGAGCGAATATTAAGAAGATCGAATAGCACGTTAGTTCGCAACGTAGCTTGTTCACGTTGTTCGATGAACAAAAAGAAAGGCCACTTCACGAAGTAATCTTTATAGAAAATGATTGTCAGTGGTTATACGTAGTGTAATTAATCTATAGAAATTTTATAATACCTGTATGCAATATAATAATTGACCCGAAATGAAATAATTAAGTTCGATTTATTTTTTCCTAAACTTCGGATAAGGTTTTTAAAAAACGAAAAAACAGCGGCACAAAAATATCCTGGGATTCCTGTTCCGACATATTGGTTAGATAGTATATTTTGATATTATATAAACTTTTTTTTGCGGAAAGTCGCGGTCTTCAGGGTTGTTTAACAAAATATTTAGCCATAACCAAAACCGTATATCTGGAAGCCATATATGCGAAACGATCGCCACGAATTTTCCGGCACAAAGGCAAAATTAATGAAAAAAAATCTTTCGAACAAGAGTTACTCAGTATTCGGCTAACAACAAATTGTGTTGAAATCTGTATAAAAGTTTTTATACGATACAAAATAAAGGTGACAACAATATTTTTTATGAAGTTATATATAATTTTTTTTTTATGCAAATCGATGCATTTCTGTGTTTTCTTTGACAAATTATTAAGACATTTTGCTCGAAATTTGATTAGCTTCGAAATTATGATTTTTGTCTCAAACGCTCATATAAGCGTTTATATATTATTCTATATTATAGAATATATATATTATTATTATTATATTATAGAATATATATATTATTAGAATTATATATTATAACGCTCATATATTATTCGCGTTTGGAATGAAAGGAAAAACGGGATCCCATGGATTATCACAGTGCAGACTTCTCCGACACAATTTTCATCGAAACCAGACCTCATCGACAACGACTTTGACCGACAACGACACGTGACCTATTTCAATAATGACCTACACCAGACCTAAGCCAGACAATGCCTAGGAAAACTACGTACAATATTAAAATAAATCTTAATAATAACATAATAATAATAATGATAATAATAATAATAATAATTTATTCACGTGTACGAGTAGGAAAACTGTTGCAGAAGAAGTTAGTAACAAATAGAGAGATTTTATACAATAATCGCATAAGTACAAATCAGGAGAAAAAAAAGAAAATTCTCGAATATTTCACATTTTGCCTAAAAACGCGAGGCGTTCAACGAAATGCTTGCATTTAATGCTACTACGGCTAAATACAGTAGTTTCTGCCAGAAATGTTCGGAGGTCGGAATTGAAACCGGCAGATCTGAGAATACCGAGTCGCGATTCTTCGAGTCTCGCGGCTCGTTTTTATAGAAACTCGGGGCAGTCGGCAAAAAATGCAGCAGCCAGCATGCCGGTGTACGTTAATGTGAACACATAGTAATTCAAGAATAAAAACGATGATTTAACTTTTTCATTTCTAATTTTTTGCCACGATTCGAAGGCAATTCGGAGGCTACGTGACACGATTCGAAGGCAATTCGAAGGCCACATGACACGATTCGAAGGCAATTCGGAGACCACGTGCCACGATTCGACGATCACGTACCCAGTACCTAGCACGTATCTCGTAGTTCCGCGGTTTTTCTTACCTGACTCGCACCCAAATAGACCATTTTGTCTTGTCTTTCGGGAATTCGCGTCGCGTGCCGCATCACACGCTTAGCACAGACGTAACAATAAATTACACAGTCGTAGGACTCGCGCGGGGAAATTCACAGCAACCCAAAGTTTGGCATTTCCGGGAGAAATTACTGTGTTATAATAAATATCCTAAAAAGTTTACATAAATCCAATCTTGTAATTTCTATAAAACAGTGTACATTAGTCGCGTTTAGGACTGGGTAATTTTAATGTTAAACAAGCTATTCTGCTTTAAAAGCTGTCCGAATGTTAACGCGAATCACTGTAGCTGTAGGGAATAGTGTTCTAATTCGTGTTCACGGTGATATCGATCGACTGTAGATTACTGTAAATTACTGTAAATTATTGTACTGTTGTCGGCTAAAGTCGTCGTCGATGAAATTCTATCGGTGAAAACTGTGTCGACGGAGGAATCCATGAGAGCCGCAAAAAAATCGCTGACGTAGCAACGGATTTGGTTTGTTCTGTCTCGGGAGAGGAAGTGGTATCGTACAGTCCGTGCAAAAAATGACGCGCACGGACACGGATCGCGGGAAGTGAGACACAAAAGAGACCGAGAAGTTCTCATCGATGCGATGGGACGGAAAGTTTTGCCGTGTGCGGCGTATAGTTCAGACCTGACTCCGTCGGACTATCATTTATTCGTTACAAGTTTACAAGTTTGCATAAACTGATTACCTAAACTACTGTTTCGCTGATTCTCTGTCAGTCTTAGCACACTATCTGCGGGTCACGGGTCGACTTTTACTTACACGAAGGTTGAAAAAGATCTAAATTTTAGAAAATATTCAATATTTTCAAAAGTAACATTTTAATATTGATTAGATTTAATAACAAGTATACAACGAGGATGTTTAGAATATCGAAGGGGATTTCCTACAAATATACATATATTAGAAAATTTGTAAAAGTAAATTTTTAGAAAGATATTTTAACACCCTTCTCGACGATAGCGTGTTGTTAATATATGTTTCCGTTCTGTATTGTAAAAAATGGATGTTTACCCGTCTATACAAATAAACTCAATTAGATCGAAAGAAAAAATGAAATTTATACAGGTCGCTACGACATCGTCTGATATGGACGCCCGCTTCAGAACGTTGGACGATAGATGATTTCACCGTAACGAAATTACGCCGCCATCTTTCTTTCGCGAAGGCGCGCTGACATTTGCCCGAGAGATGGCAAATATGTA